CTTTTTTTTGTCGCGAGTTGGAATCATATTTTAAATAAATAATTATATTTATGCTCTACTTTTGTATCGAGCACTATTTTTTAAAAATAATAACTAAAATACTAAGGAACTTTGGATTATTTACCTAACCAGTTCTTTCCTATTTTCTATATATTTTCACACACACACACACACACACACACATATATATATATATATATATATATATATATATATATATATATATATATATATATATATTTCCCTTTCTTTGTTATTGGGCTATATAAAAAGATAAATTCATTGAATACGCCGTACGTTTTCCGCAGGCATCACCAGCAAGTTGATTATTGTTTCTTCTGGACATTTTCTTTCCCTATTACATTTAGCAGAGGATTATAGAAACTTCTGGCCAAACGTTAATGATCTGAGTCAATGAAAAAAAATTCCTCAGAGCCAAATTGATTTCCTATTTTGCAAAGTGATTTTCTGTTTAAGTAGGTATTATATTCGTTGAATTCTTCGTTGAAAATTCTTCTTAAAATATAAACTATAATTTCAACCTTTCAAGTTTGTTTTTTTTTAAAGATTTTTTTTTTTTTCTGTTAATGTCATGTCCCTACAAACTCTCCACGGATTCTTGACTCTGAACTCTATGACTTCTTGGGAAAAATAGTGGAGTAGTTTACTGTTCATTTCTCCACGGTTTGGAATTGAGAGTTTTTCTTCTCTTAAACCGATAGAGCTAGAGAGTTACTCTATTTAATCCATAGCTAGGGAGAAGGAAAATGGATTTATGCCTTTCCTAACGACACTTGTGCAAAAGGGAACGCCCGAGGCTAAACTGGAATTTGAACTCGGTTCGCGAATTCCACTTTCTGCGTTGATATCCATTACGCGCACAGCCAGATTATCATTTAGTATAAGCTGCAGCTTAGGGACCAGGGCTTGATTGTCCCTTAGGCTAGTATAAGTTGCAATCTAGCGCTCCTCAACCTTTTATAAAGAAATGATTTTAATTTGCTAAATGTTATAGCTTCGAAATAGTTTCATAAAATGAAATGATATCAATATGACAAACTCATATTTATTTGACTTTGCAATAAGCAAAGCAAGGAAAAGGATATTTTAGTTTGTGTAATTGTGTTTCAAGTAGATAAAATATTTGATTTTAGTTCAGAATGTTTAAATGTTAGAAATTTTATAAAGAACTCGCTTTAATTTTCTAAATGTTATAACTTTTAATTACCTGCGGATAGGTCGCCCCACCGGATAGGTCGCACCTCTACTTTATGGCTTAATAATTGATGATTTACTGTTGACTTGCAGATAGACCACACTATAGTCTGGGGAGTTATACAGCCCTTTTTAAACGTAAGAATTCTCAGATATCTATCTTTATTTCTACCTTTATTTCAAAACTTACAAATATTCATACATTTTTGAAGTTAAAACACTTTTCGCTAATTATCATGTAAACTAGTAAACTGTAAAAAGGAAGTAACTGTTTTACCGGTACTTTTATATTTACTGCATATTATTTTTATGTCGATTCAACTCGACAAAAAAAAACAGAAATAACTACAGAAGAAAATGTCACGGTGCATTTAGAAAAAAAGTGTTTATCTGTTTAGTTATCAAGTTACAGTTTTAAAATTCGTTCAGAACTGAATCCCAAGAATTCATCTTCACTATCATCGCTGTTTAAAATCATTCTCATTTCTGCTGACCGATCTCCATGTTCTACTGCATAATACTTTTAATTTAAAGCCTGCTTCATGATTCTTTCTCTTACTCGTGATTACGTTTTGCAACAATTAAAATTATAAACTATAAATTTGGCTACCAACTATATCGCTGCGCAATGGAAAATTGTGCAAACGTTTTGGGTACTAGATTCACACGCTTTTGTTATTTGTAAATAACACGTAAGAACGTTTTTTAATGTTATATGAAACAGCCATTAAAGAAAATTGTCTCATAAAGAGTATATTTCATTTCTTTAAGTCATATTTTCCAACGTATTTTTGACAAAAAAAATTGCAGAATGAATCATACGACATTTTTCTTTGTCAATAAACATCTACACGCAGTTCCTTAACTTATGTATGCATGTTCAAGGTTTCTATATCAGTCTAGTGCGAGGGCTCCGACCACACGCTGACTGATGGATCAATGAATATTTTATAATTTTATTTATTTATTTATTGTGATGGATATATGAATCTAGCAGCATGAGGTAAGTTTAAAGCAGCGAGTCAGTATGTATGATAGATAAAGTGTTTCTATATGGAGAAAAATTAGTGTTTATGGGGATCATTTTCAATTTCTCAAAAATCATGATGACAAGGTGGGTGTTGTTTTACATTTATGTCAAGCGGATAGGTGGCACCCCTAATATTTTATAGAATTTTTGGTAAAAAAAGTGCGACCTATCCGCGAGTATATACGGTAGTTATATTAAACAGATATTTATTTTGATTGTTTTACTGCTATAATACTGGTTATATTTTTACTAAAGTTGTGTCGAAATATGTGCTAATTTGGTTTGTAATCAATAATAAACTAATGGTATTTCTTATAGAATATTTTTATTGACAAACAAAATATAACTATTCTAGTATAAAGAATTTGCAATAAGTTTACATCGAGATGTAAATGTTGCTAAAATATATCACAAGTAAAGAAATATTCAAGACGGGTGAGGGTGAGTTATAGGGTGACCCCATAATTTCATTAGCCTCGGAGCTCAGAAAGGTTACGATATATGCTGGAACATTGGTGTCCTTATTGCAGTAAAGAAATTGCGTTTTTTTTTTATACATGAATATGCATAGAGCGTGTTTCACTTCATGTGCATGCACTATTTTACGCGCGTCAACCAAGCGCGGTGGCAGTGGGGGAGCATGCAAATCTTGTATTTTATTAACTGTAATTTAATTATTTTATAATTCAGTTTATGATTTGTTGCATTTTTGTTTCTCAAGCTTTGCTCTCTTGCATTTAATGCGTTTTGTTTCAATGAAAGTTTTGTTTTGGCATAATTTTGCTCACAAACCGGTTTGTGGCTTGCGTCATAGAGGAAACAAATAGAATCAATGAAAGGGAATATATCGTTTTAAAAATCAGGTGAGGAGGAAATGAGAAAAAAAATACACTATAATGAAAAGACAATGGCCGTTGTTGAAAGTTTTCTTTCTTCGAATTATACATTTTACAATGTATTTTGAATGCTTTCACGGTTCCTTCTTTTTCACAGTCTCCAACTACAAAATGGATTCTCCTGTTGAAATGACGTACAGAAGACTTCCGCTGACTGGAGCAATCCTTGAAGCATTCCTATTTCTTATATAGCCATACAACTAATGGTCGCTTTTCATGGAATTTTCGAAGCAATATAAGTCTTGCTATATTTGTTTACTTTCGAAATAATTTAGCCTATTTCCATTTGTTTTTCTTACAAAAGTAGACTGAAATTAAAATTCATCAAAAGTAGTTGATTTTCTCTTAAAAGATAGTGTGATAGTTCAAAGAAAAAAAGCAAAAAACTCGTGTTCACAATCAGGTGTTTAACAACAAATAGTTAAAGAAAAGTTTCGTAAAATTAATAAAATTCTTTAAGATGTCTTCCAAGTCATGTTCTGCTAAATTCTATGTATTCTTTACCGATATTTTAATTCAAAGAGAACATTCTTTACAATTCATGCCATGTCCCTCAAGATGTAAGCGATCATGACTCTCCACATATTCATTGCACTTATTATATGTGAATTAATATGCATCCTTTTGAAAAATTATGGGGTGTTTTTTTTTCTTGCTCCCCGCTATGGAATCCAGAGATTTTTTTCTTATATAAAAGTCATCACCCAAGGTTTGTCTACTCTGAAATTTAACCTGTAGCCGACTTGGATGAAGGTCGTTTAATGCCTTTTCTAACGGTATTAGTGCGAAAGTGAACGCAAAAGTCTAGCCAGGAATTAGAACTCGGCTCGCTAATTCTACTTTTCGCACCCATATCCGTTATGGTACCGGCACATTCAAAACGAAATATAGCGTTAATGAATCTAACGCGCCGCATAAAAAAGTTAGAATTATAAGATTAAAAGTGTAAGTTGCTGTCAAAGACATTAACAGATAGCCATTAAAATTTTCTTTCTTCTTCTTCTTCTTTGCATGCCGTGTCCTCTTAGAACGTAGGCGATTATGGTTCTCCACAGTTTCTTGTCATTTGTAGCTTTTAATTTAGTATTTTATTATTTCTCCTAAACCCTGTTCCACCATCCATTTACTCAAGCTCATTAAGTATTTTATGCTTTGTTTTCTTCTCTCCCCCTTGCCCTCAATCCTTCCTGTGAATATCAGATTTTCCAAGCATTTCTTCCTCATTATGTGTCCCAGAAATTTCAACTATCTCTTCTTGTTAAGTATAAGTTTCCTTTTTGTTTCCATTTTTACTAAAACCTCGGCGTTACTCACATGTTCGGTGCATATAACAGCCATTATCTTTGCTAAATAAAAAAAAAAATGAAACTGCGCTTATTAAAATGACGAGGTACCTGAAAAGTGAAGTGAAAACAAAGCACTCGTAAAACGATCTCTCTATTTCTCAGCTTACCTGTTTCATTACATGTATGAGAATGAAATTAAAAATCGTCTAAAAATTTAGGAACCTAAGATAATTGAACGACCGGATGAATTACCTTAAACAAATCTGCCAAGTGGTCATAAATTCGGGCACCTCTAAATATAGAGACGTACTTATTTAGAAATATGTATATGCAATATCTTGTAATTGCGTCTAGATGATTTTTTGTCACTTGTCCCTTTAGTGAAGATTATTGTGGAGAAATGATGTAATTAAGTAAAATGGATTCTTCTTCTGTGGTGGATTTCTGATTATTTTTTTGTTAATAAGAACAAAGACAAAACGTAAAAAGTTGACTTGCGCATGTAATATTGCATAATTCAATTGATAGAATAAACATTGTCAGTTTCCTGTTTTGTGTTCGGACGCATCACATAGAAACACTGGTTCCCTTACGATCACCGAAGTTAAACAACGTCGAGCCAGGTCAGTACCTAGATGGGTAACCGTTTAGTAATACCAGGTGCTATAAGCTTGAATGCACGTGTGGTGTAATGGTTAATAGCAAGGAATTCTTAATCGGAGAGCCGAGTTCCTATTCCAGTTGGGTTCTTTATATATTCATTTGGGAAAGGTATGACTCCACCTCTTTTCACGCCCAGCTATGGGTTAATTAGTAAGACTTGTATCGCTAAATTATTATTATCTCCTAAAAAAAATTCTTACGGTCTAAAAATATTTTCTGGCTTTAAATAACCTGCACTGGATTGATAAGCCGTAAAAACAGATCAGTCAAATCAAATCTAATTTCAGCCTTTTGAATGAATTCAAAACAACATACGCCGAGACAAGGTAGCGAAGATGAAACGTTTAGCGTGTTCATATGTAGAGATTTGCTAGGGCTTTCGCTACGGTCGATGCATGGACACTGAAGTTACAACTTAATCAGTTAATACAGATGTTAAGTGGACCTAATTAAGATAAAACTAGTGGGTTGGTGCATAATTATCAGGCGTTTTTGTAGGCGAGTTATTTGTTAATTAAAAAATGCTGTTTTGTTTACTTTTTTAATAAAAAAATTGTTTTCAGATTATAAAAATGCGTGTCGATAATCATACGCTCCGGAATAATCATTTAAAAATGTTATTGTTGAGTTATGTTTCTTTTTTTCATGATAAATATTGTTTTAAAAACGCCTGATAATTATGCACCAACCCAATTTTTTCTCTTTATTGTTCATTTCTTCTACTTTTTCCAAAAGTGTTCTCATTCTTTTATCTTTTCTTTTCTCTTGCGTGAAACATTCTCATCCAGATTTTTTTTTATCTCATTCTACGAATTCAAAGAACACCTTTTCCACTTTTATAATTATTTTCTTTTCCATCAATGTAAACACTTAAGATGGTGAGTTTATTTCACATAAATTCCTTTCGTTTTGTTTTTCTTGCTTTCTTTAAGGAGATGATTTTGTCTTCTTTCTATTAGAGGTATGCACTTTAGTTTATTTTTCTTCCGTTCTTCATTGAATTCACTTATTCCTTATTTCCTTTCTTCAAAGGAAGACATTTCCTTTTTCTTTCTTTTCGATGTTTCCTTTCCTTTCTACATTTGACTTGTATCCTCCACATGTTATTATAAAACGGTACCTTCGATTTCCCATATATTGTCACCATTTTGCTAAAAGTTCGTACTTTCTTGACTTCAAATGAGGACGTAGATTTTTTCCTTCATATATCAGTGAACTTTTCACTTTGCAAAATGTTAATAAATAATTATAGTTTATTATAATTATTATAATTTTTTCATAATTGTTTTTTTTTATAATTGTTTTTTGACTCTGCAAAATGTTAACATATAATTATAGTTTATTATAATTATTAATATAAAATTATAGTTTATTATAATTATTAATTTTATTATATAATTATAGTTTATTATAATTATTATAATTTTTATAATTGTTTTTATTTATATTTTTTATAATATTATGCTCTACTGTTGTATCGAACACTGATTTTAAAAAATGAAAATAAGTGCAAAGAACTCTAAATTATAATTCTCATTGTTCTTTCCAATTATTTTAATATATATATATATATATATATGTGTGTGTGTGTGTGTGTGTGTGTGTGTGTGTGTGTGTGTGTGTGTGTGTGTGTGTAATTATAGTTTAGATATATGAAAAAAGATGGTGTCAATTGAAATAAGGCCAGAAGCATCTATGCTATGGGAAACTTTTTCATTCGTTTTTTTTTTTTTTTATCTCGCCTAATTATTTTTTGTCTTTATTTAGTACTTTCCCTTTCTTAGTCTTTTCTTTCTGTATTTTTTTTTTCTTTTTCGTAATTTTTAACCATATTTCGTCCCGAAATCCCCAGGTTACGAAGAACAGTTTACATTTCTTTCTATTGCATATAATGAAGATAGAACCGCGAAAATCCTTCAGGGACTCAGATGGACTAGACCTGAATTATTAATTGCGAATGAGGTGCACAAAGTCTCCACCATTTTTCCTCATTTGTTACATCTGTTTCTCTGTCTGGCTTTCACAGTCTAATTGAACATCATCTCGGATGAATATCTTGTTTTTGTTGAAAATTGAAACAAAAGTAATAAATGTCTGATGTTTCTCAGTTTGGCAGGTTCGTTCCAGGAAAATATCATTAGTTTTCTCCTAAGGATAGTTGAATATCTATTTCACTTATTTAAAAGAAACGGGTGGTTTTCGTCTTACTTTTTCATGATCAATATTCTCTGGAATTATGCCTAATTTAGCCTAGTTTGAATCATTATTTCGAGCAAATGTCACTTCCCCTTATCGTTTAACCTAATCGAATATTACTGTCCTCCGCATCAGATTTTAACAGTTTTAGTGTGGTCTCAGTATAAGAGAGAACGTGTACTTTTTATCGAAAGCGTCAAAAGACTTTTTAACTAGTTAGCCGAAAGGTTGGTGAGATAGGATTATTTGTGTAGTATTCGTTTCCAATAGTAAATCCCAAATTAAGTTTAAGTTCAGTTCCCTCTGTATAGAACATTTCGGCGTGCGCTAGTCTATAATGCATCACATACTTGTTCAAAATTATACATTTAGATATAAACTTCTAAATGACAGTAATTATTCTGCTGTTATCTCTGTTAGACTTTTGAAAACAAGGCCAAAAATTTCAAACTGGCATTGCGATTATTTATCTGATTGATTCTTATCCTTTTCAAATTCTTGGCGAAGTAATTCGAGAAAGTACTGCATATTTTGTGTAAAGAATAAAGTCAAAACCACGATTTTATTTACAGATGTATGGGTAAATAAGTATAAAGTCATCTCTTTAAAATATTGTTTCTGAAAATTCGGTATAAACTGTAGATGTTTCTTGACGATGTGCTGCTATAACCTTAACAACTTCTATCGTTTCTGTTAATTAGCGAATGCGTGTTTTGATTCTTATGGTTCTTTCAACTTTTTAGTTCCTTGTGTTTTGTAGGATTATTATGGTTATTTTTATTGTTTAAAAAGTTTTAAGATTTGCTTATATTATTTTTAATAGTTTTCTGTTGTTCCTTATTTTACCATTCAACTTTTCCTATTGTTTTCTTTATTTCAAAATCTTCTTCAAATATTTCATGACTGACTTTTGACGTTCATGTAATTTATCGCGCATCTTTACGTTATATAACTACTATTGTTTTTTTCTGTCTCCATATATATATATGTGTGTGTGTGTGTGTGTGTGTGTGTGTGTGTGTGTGAAAAGTGTGTGTGAAAAGTGTATATATATATATATATATATATATATATATATATATATATATATATATATATATATGTGTGTATGTGTGAAAAAAGTGTGTGTGAAAAGTGTATATATATATATATATATATATATATATATATATATATATATATATATATAATTATTTATATAATATATGCGGTACTTATTAGAAAGTGCTCAATATCAGAGATAGAGCTAACATATTTGGTTGGATTGATGTGAGTTTGTGACCCTGGGTTTCAGGCTTTTGCGATCGTCAGACCAACTGATTAATTTTTTTTAAATTTTGGGTTGCATGTATTGGTGCTATTATGAGAGTGGGGGGGAATCGTCGTCTGGGTGTCACTCATGCTAACGCAAACATAGATGCATGTCCGTACACCTGATGAGGTACGCAGACACACATACACACTTGCTCGTCCGCCGGGGCTCATACAGATATAAACATATGTGGACAGTATGAGATTTGACTTATGTATGTATATGGGTGGTGCTGTGTCTATACATACGCATTTGTATGTTGAAATTCAAAGATTGGAAGTGTAGCGAAAATTTCTCGTGAATGTCTCGTGAATGTATACATGTCAGCAATCAGAACATTTTTCTATTTTTTTCGCTGAATAATATTTCCTCGCATGCACGTATATATGTGTGGTGGGGTCTGTGTAAAATTATGATAGGTAAAAATTGCGATTATTTTTATTTCTAATTTTTTAAAAAGTTTATTTGTTATTATTTTAAAGCTGGTTATTTGCTTGTTTTTGATGACTGTATATGTAACTGGTAGAAATTTTAGTTTGTAATCCTTATTGATTATTTTTATAGTGGTATTAAATATGCTGGGTGAGGGGGTAGTTTATGTTAATAATTATGACGGGTTTGTATGATAATAGTAGATGTGATGTGATAGTAATGTTGTAAGGGGGTTGGTGACAATGATAATATAAGTGGCTAATAGTTATTGTAAATTGGTAGAAATGATTAGTAATGGTGGTGGGAGAATAATAAAAACCAATAAATGTAATTATTGTGGTGCTAGCTTGAACTAAAAAGTGATTGTTGGTGTTTTATTTTATTTTATTTCATATATTTATGTATTTATATATTTATTTTGGTATAAATCCTGGTAATAGGTATTTATTCTCATGCCTACATTTGGAAATTATCTCTGATCTTATTGGTTTTTATTTGGTGGTATTAAATATGCTGGCGGGGAGTAATCTACGTTAATAATTATAGTGGATTTATGTGTTAATAGTAGATGTGATGTGGTAGTAATGGTGTTGGGTGATGGTGGTAATGATAATATTAGTAGTTAATAGTTATTGTAAAGTGGTAGAAGTGATTACTAATGTTGGTGCAATGATAATAACAATAAATGTAATTATTGTGATGGTAGCTTGAACTAAAGAGTGATGGTTGGTGTGTTTTTTCTTTTGTTTTTTTTTTTTTATCCGTTTGGTATAAATTCGAATAATAGGTACTTATTCTGATGCCTACATTTGGAGATTATCTCTGATCTTTTGTTTAGTAAATTCTTTTGCGGGGTGTGGGATATTATTGCTACTTTTTCGTGTAGGCATTTTTTTTGTAATGTTGCTGCAGGCAGGTGCTTTTTTCAATACTTTCCAGCTTATTGTTGGTATGATATTTCTGTCTTTTTGCTGCCATATGTATGTGGATAGTGTAGTGTTGTTCGAGTATTTCCAGTTGGTGAATGAAAGGTTGTGATTGTTATTCCTCTTCTTGAATGGACCC